ACCGCCCATGATAAGCCAGGGGATAATCATAATAGTCATACCTGCCATTCAGTTACAGCCAGCACCAAGCTGTTATATGCATGTAGTGACCGCTGTCCACAGATTTCATGTGATCTCCTCCTCCCTAGGTGGGTTCTGGGGCCCATCTTGGAGAAAACAAGAACAGACCCATTGCCTCCCCAACAAGCATTAATTGGAAACTTCTTTTAAAGTCGGAGTGCATCTGCCTGAGAGGTAAGGAACCAACAGTCAAATGAGACAGATCTGTAAAACGGATGTGCACACAACACTCAGGTTCTGGAACAAGACAAGTCTGGAGGTGGATAAATGCTAAGAACTTTCTTCCAGAGTTTACAGCTGGTGGACGTAAAGAAATTTTTTCTTCTGCCTTTCTAACACCTAATGGAGCATAGGCTCTCATCCAACTCATGCCAAGTCATTTTATCCTTCGCTCCTGCATGCAGCTATCCCCCATGTCCTCCCTATCTGTTTACTGTCACTCTCTAGCTCTCTTCTCCATGTGTTTTTTGGTCTTCCTTTATTTCTATGCCCCTGTGGGTTCCAGTGCAAAGACATTCTAGCTATACAGTTATCAGATTTTCTCAGCGAGTGTCCTATCCAATTCCAGCGTCTTCACCTCATATTATCAAAAACCCGTAAATGTCAGACAAAGCAGCTTTCTCAGGCGACAGAATTGGCACTTGATGAGGGATGTGACATCACTTTGGCTGCCTTTACTTCCCACAAAATCTTCTAATACATATTTTAGGTTGAGGTGCCCTGGGAACTAAGGTAAATTATACAAAATCCTCTGTCAGCAGATGCTTCTTCTTTGCCTTCACCGGCTGTGAACTCTGATAGAAAGTTCTGGTTGTTCACCCACTTCCAGGACTTTGGTCTTGATTCAAAACTTGAGTTTTACATGCACATCATCTTACAGATTTGACTTATTTGTATGCAGACTGTTGGTTCTTTGCCTTACAGGCAGATGCACACTGACATTGAAGGGATCCCCCCCCCCCCCCCCAATTAGTCACCTCCTACAACACGCTTGTTCCTGAAGGTATTTAGGACATGCTTGTTGGGTTGGCACTAGATCTATTCTTCATTCTCCAAAATGGAGACCCACGATCCACTCTGGGAGGGTGCAGATTCAACCTCAAGACCTTCAGGCCCGCAGAAACAAGTGTCCACTGTACAAACACAATACAAATACTGTATCGACTGTACTCACCTGAGCCTGACTGGTGCCTTTTGTCGGCGGGACAAAGTAACCTTCTTCCCCTGCCCCTGTCGCCAGCGACTCAACTTCCTGTTGAACGAGAAGAGAATGTTTACAGAATAAAGATGCAGACATGCAATTTGGTCATTACAGATCTAGTTTCATAGCAAATGTGTCACCGTATTAGTTGCTCCATTCCTGGGCCAACAGAATATCTATCACTGTCCCCTGTGAAACAACTGACACACACAGCAGTCTCAGCAAAACCAATATTATTTTTACGCATATAATGCATAAGGCAGCCATCAGAAGTGCCTACACAAACAGTCCGGCACTGGAAATGCAGTTCATCGTTGATGAAACAGAAGTTACATATGGAGGAAAATGCAATGGTTAACTATTGTCAAAAGCTAAAACTTGCCACAACTAAAAATAGTGAGTCTGCCTACCCACCATACAGATCAGAAACACGTGTTGACATGTAGAAACTGGTCAACAGCCAGACAGAAAGCTGGTCATAGATAAAGACGAGAGACCAGTTCGCGCTCTCTCTCTGTATGCGCTCGTGTCTTTCTCCACCTCCCTGTTATTTTTTATTTCACTCACTCACTCTCTGTTATTTTTTTAACTTCTTCCCTCTCTCTTTCTCTCAGCACACGGGCATGCACATAGAGAGAGAGAGGGAGGGAGGAGAGAGAGAGAGAGAGAGAGAGAGAGCAGAAACTAAATATAGAGTAGTAAACATTTTACCGGCCAACACTGTAATCAAGATCAAAGGGCAGTGGACAGTGAGGAGGCACAAACAGATAATCATGGTCTGTGGAGAATGGCAATGAGAGGAGTTATCAGGGGATCTGGCTGACATTCAATATCAAAGGGAATATGAACGAATGACAGGAAAACAAATAAGGGTACGGGGGGGGGGGGGGGGGGGGGGGGGTGTGTGTGGAGGCCGAGAGAAGACAAAAGGAGAGTATGTTTAGTGGCGGAGAAATAGGAAACCGAGAAAATTAGGAATGGGGGGAAGAGGGGGGGGGGGGGGGGGAAGAGGCAGAGTAAAAAACAGAATGTTTGACAACAGCACAGTGAGGATTGATTTACACACATACCAAGTCAGTTGGAAGCTCCAGATCCTCATCTCCAACATCCCAGCCGCCTCCTTCTCCAGCCGCTGCTGCTGCAGTCTCTTCATCAAAGCCTTCTCCCTCTGTTAGCATGGAAATAATCATTGACACTATCAATAACGAAGCATCTTATCAGAACAAACCCAGCTTGCTTGGTCACACATTCACAACGCCCCAACTCACAATCATTACTCTTCTTCTTGTGTTCCATTTCTGATTTACACTGATAGAAAAGTTCTTGTGATATTTTTAGGAGCTCCCTTTTAGGTCCATACAACTCTGAGTACACTGTTGACTCATCGGGCCGGTATTACTTTCTTGATGGGTTGTAATGGGACATATAAGCAGGACATGTTCTGTAGTCTGCACACACAGCCTACATGGACACAATGGTGTCTACTTGGACGAAGCCTGTGCATATGCTTGTTATGTTTGTTATGTCCTGTCCTGAGGTGTAGAATAATGACCTTCCCATGCCGGTCAAGTAAGTGGTGGTCATCTCTGGCCAGACTCTTTACACGTATGATAGACTGGATGGCCCTTTTCTTCTTAAAGTATGTTAACAATCATTCATTATGGTAATATCTGTTACAAAATTCCTCCTTTTATGTGAGTCATTCAGGCAGCTTCTTCTTTGTGTCCACCTGAACTGAACTCTAGCAGAAAGTCATGGTTCGTCCGTTACTGGACTTTGGTCTTGTTTCAGGGTTGAGTTCTGCATTCACATCCAAAGCACAGATCGGACATATTTGTAGGCAAACTGTTGCTTCCTACTTCCAGTTGAAGATTGCAGTCTGTAGGATAAACACCCCAAGGATGAGAATCATACAGGTAAGAAATCCAGTTCAACCATCGAGCAATATAGAAGAGTTATACTTGGGCACCACAAAATGGTTCTGAAGCAATCTGTAATCCATTGTGGATGGGTCTGCACTCTAATTCAAAGGAAACACCCATAATTAGTCAACTTTTAGGACATGCTTGTCAAATGAGCAGTGCCCCCCCCCCCCCCCCCCACGAGGAACCCAGAACCCGCACAGGGAGGGCCCCTCCCCGCCAAACAGCACCAATGTACAATGTTCTCTAATACAACATAATAAAAATCAACCATGCATGCCATGAACTTTCATATCGTCTTCTCTTTTGCTCTTAATTCGCTAATGAAGTACAGGCTTTTCCATTCATGACACTCACCTATAAACACACTGTCGGATTTAAAACTGCAGTCGACAGCGTCAACTTAATTGCACAGGGTTTTATCCGCTAAAGCTGGGTCTCTCTCTCTGCACAATGGTTTGCCGAGAGTGTCAGCAATGGTTTGCCTAGAGTGTCAGCAATGGTTTGCCTAGAGTGTCAGCAATGGTTTGCCGAGAGTGTCAGCAATGGTTTGCCGAGAGTGATGTCATTTCTGATAAAATGACTGACCTTCCATTCTAAGTCAGATTGCATTCAAAAAACCAAACCAAGTTAGGTGACTGAAAAAAAAAAAAAAAAAAAAACCAACTGGTATACCACTTGCATGAGCTAGTTGACGCTCACCTTCATCCAGGACCAATGTCTCAACATCATCCCCCCAACCACTGCCAGCTCCAACATCATCATCATGAACCACTGCTGCTGCCAATGCTGACTGCTTGCCTGTAGACAACAAATCACATGTCAGCACAAATACCACACTTAGCCAAAATCAAGCTGTGACCCACAAGTTTTGACAGAATTGTTATAAAACCCACACATCTTCCTATATCATCATCTTGCTGTGCCATGTATACATCACAGTGAGTTTGCAGTTGATTCCTCTATTCTGTTCTATCCTGTGAAATTTTGTCAATGCCATGAATGTAATCTAGTCCAGCATCTTTGGAATCTTTCATCAATGTCTGTTTTAGGGTTTCTTTTGAATGTCCTAAATTCACATTTAAGTGTCCGTTTTGTGAAGAATAAGATACCACATTAGGAAGTTGAAATAATTCTAGTGTTTTTCAGGTACTCAAAAAAAAAAAAAAAAAAAATCCTTTAAGATCTGCTGTATTGCTATTCAAAGTTTGAAAAATTAAAAAATTATAATTTCAACATCGAACATAAATGTAAATTCTCAAAATTTTATCAAAAAAGTTATATATATATATATATATATATATATATATATATATATATATATATATATATATATATATATATATATATATATATATATATATATATATATATATATATATATATATATATATAAATATGTCGGCTCTGTGGCTAAGTCGATGTGAACGCTTCGTAATGCCAGGTTCGATTCCAGCTGCGGGCCACGCGCCTTGCATTGGTTTTCGACAGTGGTATCAGGGGGCCGACCATCCAGAAAGCAATGGCAAACTACTGGACGTAAATTTGCCTAGAGAAACCACACAACAGCCAGGGGCTGCTGGGGTTGGTTCTGCAACGTCATGTAAAGGATAAGCAACTAACCAACAACATATATAAATAAATAATCTGAGAGCACACAAAGGACTTAAGAGGAACTAATCATGAGCAGATAACAACTGCAGTTATACAATACAAAATTAACATAAAGGGAGCAACATCTTTGACAACCAAGGCACCCACAAGATAGACACACAATAAAAACAACTATCACATCAATCCCTGGAATAATTTCTGACCTCCTCTTGCAGCCATAGCTCCCTCAAAGAATCCCTTGGAGACGGTCAACAGAGGCCAGTTGCTCTCCTGCTGGGTGATGGGTACAGGGGGCTGCAGCAGGGAGGCATTCGGGTAGAGGTCTGGGACCCTTTCCCCTTCTCCGAATCCTTCCTTCAGCTCGTTGGCCTCCTCCTCCAGGCCATGAGTGGCAGCAGTCAGGTAAGCCAAGGATTCTGTGGGGGGACAACAAATTACTACTGAGATCATCTGATAACAACATAACTAACTATAAGAGTCTTGCACTGGAACGCACAGATAAAAAGAATAAAGGTAGACCAAAAACTACAGGGATAAGGAAATTAGAGAGTAAAGGGAAAATTAGAAAAAAAACATTTAAAAGATAGATGGAGGACAGGGAATACACTCCACGCAAAAAGCGAAAGATAACAATGATTAGTCAGTTGAGGGCCTCTGCTACAATGAAGGATATAGAGGAGGTGAAGAAAACAATGAAAATCTACATGACACAGCACTGCTCCTGCATCTCCTTCATGCAGCTGTAGAGGGACTTGTGTGCCACATTAGCCTGTACTTTTTCTGATAACCATAAGAGCTTTGCCAATAGTACTGTAGCTAGTGGCTTGGTTTTTTCAATTTGGAAAGGTTAAGGGTTAAAGACTAGATCTTTGCAAAGAACGAAGTGACTGTGAATCTCTAACCATGACCAGACTACAAAAACAGGTTAAAAAAACGGATATGGCCAGATAACAGCACTATGCAGGAAGCCAAAGAAAAAGAAATCAGCACAGAGCAGGTGTTGTCAGCAAATACATGCTGCAGGATTTACAGAGGAAGGAATCTGAACACTTATAAACCAAATTATTCGGTGCGCGATGAGAATAACCTGTTGACTGACTAACTAGACCAGATAAAGTGAGATACAAAAACCTGAAACTAGTCTAGTGTAAATTTACTGTAATAAATAACAAAACAAAAAAAAAAAAAAAACCTGTTTAACAGTGAACAGTCCCAAATATAAAAAAAATTTTAAAAAAAAGTCTCATAGGAGCAGCTGTGGTGTAGTGGCTAGACACTCGCCTGTGGATTCAAAGGTGGTGGGTTCAGGTCCCTGTCTCCCAGCCTTAAATGGGCACCAGGTAAAGTCCTGGGAAGTAAAGGCGGCTAACATGATGTTGACATCACAAATCACCAAGTGCTGACTAGTCTATAAAAAAAAATAAGCTTGAGGGCGAGGAAAAAGGTTCTTTACTTTACTATATATCCCAATAGGTCTGAACGCATGGAAAAAGGGCCTCTTACTGTTTCCAAATGTTAACCTATATGGCTCCATCTCTCTCCAAAGAAATTAAAATGTCGCATGAAGCACTAAGACATTTCTTCACAAATTGCATGCATTTTACCGACCATATGACAATTCCAAAAATTAACCTAAAATTTTTTACAACGAAAGGGAAATAGCTTCTTCTTTCTTAATCAAGCATTTAGTCAACCTGTATTGTTTTTTGTTTTGTTTTTTGTAAAATAACAGAGTGACAGAAAAGAATATACAACTTACTTTGTCCACATCCTTTGAGAATCTTGACTCTCTCATTGACATCCCCTAGCAGAAGTGCATTCTGGTAGTGTCCACTTGTGTCCTTGCGGATCTCAGCTGCAAGATTACAGCATTTCAGAAAGAACATAAGCAATTCAGAGAAGCATATTACTGACATAAATATAATGTAAATGATGTGGAAAATTGACGTAAATATAATGTAAATAATGTGGAAATTGAAATAAAAATAATGTAAATAATGTGGAAATTGACATAAATATAATGTAAATAGTGTGAAAAAATAAGAAAACATTGCAATTTATTACTCTGTATCCTATCAGGTGCAGTGCTATAGAATTATGTCAAAATGTAATACCGTACAAAGAAATTAATCCAAATAAATACACAAAAATCACACTGTCCTCTCCTAAATGAGAGACAAAAACATTACTGTGTGAAAGACAAGAAGTAAAACAAGAAATTCATTTAAAGAGAAAACCCATTAAAAGTCAGTGTTGAAATCTGTGTGCAACCTTAAGCTTTTGATATTTATGTTGTCTAATATGTCCTCTCACTCCTTCTCCAATCTTTCACATCTAAGAGTGACTGGCTTCTATTTCCGAGGACATAACTGCCTTCTTCATTTACAGTGCAAATCTTCATCTCTTGACCTGTACATCCTCCTGATTGCATTTGTTGCCTAGGTTAGCCCTTTCTTTACAGGGAGTGTCAATCGACACATTCCAGGAAGGAATGTCATACTGCAGCCAGAAAAAGTGTTGAAGTGCTACACAGAATCTGTGTTCTGAGACACAAACAACAAGCTGACAAGCTAAATTTACTCGCAGTAGCAATGTGGGTTTTGAGAAAAATGCAAGGAATTTCATGGGATGACATAAAACAAACACGGCAGTCCTTCTTGAGACAGAGGAAAGTCCCTTGAGACAGAGGAAAGAAAGTCCCTTGAGACAGAGGAAAGTCCCTTGAGACAGAGGAAAGTCCCTTGAGACAGAGGAAAGTCAAAAACTGATAAGAAAAATTAGATGTAGACAGTCTTGTTTTTTTTAGACATGTTAAAAGAACAAGTCGACTTGAAACTTGGTTAACGACTAGCAAGACTGATTGGGGGGGGGGGGGGGGGGAGCAGGAGTAAGGCAATGAAACAAATACCTGGATAGCCTGGCCATATGGATCGGACGAGACAAAAACATTGACCTGATCAGTGATTGTGGTGATCGTGTGAGATGGCGAAACATTACAAGCATATGCTTATCAGCCTGGCAAATACTGATGATAGAAACAAATCTCTGTGTAAATCTAGTGTAGTAACTAAAGATTTTGATGTTTAGTGTACCTCCTATCTCCACTTCTTTCTTCTACATCTACGAGTACCAACTAGACCAATACAATTTGTTTATCACTGAAGAAAGAAAATCTGACTGACCAATTTTCATCATTTTCTTGAGCTTGTCCAGGTTTCCAGTGATGAGGTAGAGGAATGAGAGCTTGTCGAAGTTCTTGGTCTTCTGGTAGGCCATCTCCACGATCTGATGGTTCCCCTGCAGCAAGGCGGCCTCTCCAAGCTTCTCCCAGCAAGCAGCATCATCTAGTGCCTTGGCAGCTTCCAGAGCAATCTGATTCAACAAAGGCACCAACAGTCACACAGATGCACAAACAACTACGGCTAAGAAATGAAGTGCTAAATACAACATAAAATGTCACTACACAGCTCAGCGGTTCGAATGGAAAAAGAGTGCACTGTCATGAGTCAACTTTACCACACACTGTGAGATAAAGACAAACAACGACTAGACTGACTCATAACAGCAGACAGGTCAATTACTGGTCAGACGGGTTGTGTGTAGACCTGCAGGGCGAAACAGGTAACTGAGTGGGGAGGTTACAGCGGGACTGGACAAAACAGGTAGAGTGACACACGGCAGTTAGTAGTTGGACAGTCCAGTGAACGGATGTGTTTGTTTGGGGCCCTTTTAAAAGGTGGGAATTGTTTTTCGCTTGGAATGGACTGGATTTAAAACTGCGAACAGAACAGTAGTGGTTATTCATACTGGTGACAAGTGTTTCTGTTGTATAGCCGGATTATAAAGTTAAGTGTAGTAGTTAGGAGGATACGGAATTATTGCTATAGAGGCATCAGCTAGCCTCTCATGACTTTGTTCATATTTCGAGGATGAGTTTGTGATCAGCTATACCAGCGTACCGTTGATGTATTTAGCCAGTGACTACCTGAGTTTAGCGTGCTTATGAACCATAAGAATAAAATCTGTGGCTACTCAGTAGTCGATAACGTTGTGTGGAAGCCATACTAACTTTGCAATTATCAAGAGTTTCTTAAATAAACATACTAACTTTGCAATTATCAAGAGTTTCTTAAATAAACATACTAACTTTGCAATTATCCAGAGTTTCTTAAATAAACATTATTTAAGAACTAGAACAAGGTCATCAGCGTTTACATGTTCATGGAAGTGTGGGTACACCTGGCACAAATAACAATTGTACTTGTGTCACACCTATATAAGGTGTCTGACATGAACAAATATTACAGAATGTTTTGGCCAAAGTCTTTATCAACAGAGTCCTGAAAACAACAACACAAATTTGTGACTGAATACTCAACAGATAAGGTCAACATGAAACTAAGGAATTCGTAAATATGGGGGAAAACTAAATAAACCCAAGAAGCGTTACATTACACAATATTAATAAAGTAACAGAAAATGTATTGATTAGCACTCACAGAAAGAAGTAGAAAGATAGATGGGAATTACATTACAAAATGAAATAACTAAAAAAGTTAGTTGTGTATCCTTTACAGGATGTTGCAGAGCCAACCCTAGCATTTTCGGCTGTTGTGGTTTTTCCAGGCAAATATTACATTCAGTAGTTTGCCACTGCTTTCTGAACGTTCACCTCTCAGTACCACTGTCGAAACCAACAAATGCAAAAATAAGTAACAAGGCGTTTGAAACACACACACACACACACAAAAGGGGGGGGGGGGGGGGAGAAAATATTAACAAGTTAAATAAATTAGTTACTACAATTCCACAATGGAGGCTGGCTATAATGGACACGTACGCCAACTGCTGACTTTGGGAAAGTTATGTAGTGAGGCTCCAAACTCTTCCACTAGACTCCACATTAACAACAAATAATTACCTCAATGTTTCCACATTCCAGGGCCAGGCCAAACCGGGTCTTTTCGTCCTTGACAAAGTGCAGTGCCACCTCGGGGTAACCTTTCTTCTGCAGGTAAGAAATGATGGACTGTCCAACCAGCTTGGCGTTTCTAACCATGTGGAGAACCTGTTGACGTTACACAAGAGGACAGCTGAAGTATCTGACTCTATGTTTGACATTATGACAGCGTTGTTTCTGACATATGAAGCACTCAAATAACATCCATCTCATTTCTCCATTTGCTGTTTATATACTTACAAACCTGAAACAACCTCTTTAAAAAAAAAGGAAGTTCTAAACTCTTTGAGTCCCAGGATGTTTAGCATCACAAGCCCAGGATGTTTAGCATCACAAGCCCAGGATGTTTAGCATCACAAGCCCAGGATGTTTAGCATCACAAGCCCAGGATGTTTAGCATCACAAGCCCAGGATGTTTAGCATCACAAGCCCAGGATGTTTAGCATCACAAGCCCAGGATGTTTAGCATCACAAGCCCAGGATGTTTAGCATCACAAGCCCAGGATGTTTAGCATCACAAGCCCAGGATGTTTAGCATCACAAGCCCAGGATGTTTAGCATCACAAGCCCAGGAGGTAGTAAACAGAGTCATAAAATCAGTGCATCATGCGTTCATTGGGCTTTTAGGTAGGAACCTATGAACGTATGATGCGTTAATTGGGACTCAAAGAGTTAAGGTGTCATCCTACAAAACCACCTACCCTACTCGTTATATGATTAAGCATAATATTTTTTTAGCAGCCTACATGGACTTTTCTGTGGCCCAGCAGGTCGACCCAGCCTTAAATGGATACCAGGTAAGGTCCTGGGAAGCCTTCTTCTTCGTGTACACCAGCTGTAAACTCTGGTGGAAGGTTCTGGTTGTTCCTCTACTTCTGGTCATTAGCCTTGTTCCAGAACCTAAATGTTGTGTGCACATCCGTTTTACAGATCTGACATTCTTGTATGCAGACTGTTAGTTCCTTTTCCCTCAGGTCCAGGCACTCTGATTTTGAAAAAAGCCCCTAATTAGTCGACTCTTACGACATGCTTGTTGGGACAGCAGTGGGTCTATTCTTGTTTGCCGCACAATGGGGTCCCAGAACCCACACTGGGAGTCCTGGGAAGTAAAGGTGGCTGGTGTGATATTGACCACATCATCTCCTCAGTGTCGATTGGTTATAAAATATCAATCTAGTCCCTATATGCCTGAAGATGTGGGAAAAGGTCCTTTATCTCTTCTTACTTTTACCAGTGGGTCGTGGCAGACAGGTTGATGAATACTGCCTTAATCAATTAGTGATAAACTACGACAGTTTTTGGCAACCTTCCATCTTTCCAGACGACAGGGTTCCATGGTGCAACAGGGAGGCATAGAAATCACAACCAATGGTAACAGACAGGGCACCACAGAGAGCAATGTTATACAGATACAGCTGTAGCAGAGGCAGGGGTCGACCACACAGAAGATGGACTGCAGAAATATGAGAGACACTGTAAAGTCCTACATACGAAGCGAACAAACGGCCTGTGCCAGACATCTCTTTCTGCCCTGATGCATCATGAGGCAGTCCAGGAGTCGAGAACAGAAGAAAAAGAAGACACCAATAAAGGCCAGAAATGAAGTCTCTCCTCCCACTGTACAAGGCCTGGGTATTGCTGCAGAGAACATGCCTTGCCCATGCCACACGATCCCTTCCTAGGCCTGCTTTGTTAAATCAAAAGGAAAGGTAGTACCAACAATATGTCTGGAACAATGCATACAGCAGAAAAACAGTGCTCCGTCTGTCCACGTTCCCTCCTAGACCATCTAAGGCCTAAGGCCCTAAAAACAGTGAGACTGCCTATCCACTATACTGACCGGAATTGTGTCATCTATGGAAGGAGACCGGTGTGCTTATGTAGAAATATGTGTTCAATTGAAGTCATCTTTGAACAAAATGAAAACAACCATACCTCCTCATACTTTCTGTTGACTAGTGCCAGCTTAAACTTGAACTCTGTGGGGTCAATGTTGAGAACTCGTGGGCGGCACTCACGATCCAGACAGTAGACAGAGGTACCCTTAATCCGGGTGATGTAGATCGGAAGGTCAAGTGTACGGATTATCCCATGGTCCCTAGGAGGAAAGAGCAAATAAAAAACTTGGGAAAACTGCCGAACAAAGTCAACAGTACATAAAATTTGACTTACAAGTGCAACAGAACTAAGTTACTAAGTTAACATTTCAATTCTAATCTTAAATCAGTTCCGCTGTATGGAGCAGAAACATGCAGAATAACTAAAACAATTATTAATAAATTACTAACATTCATTCTGGTATCTGTGCATAACAAACAGAGGAAACTGAACGGTGTGATAGAATCACTAATGTTAAGATTTGGGAGATAATTAAACAAGTTCCACTGGAGCAAGAGGTGAAGAAAAGACGCTAGCACTGCACTGTCAAGATTCACTAGAGTTACGTTCCCTGAAGAATTAGTTAAAAAAAAAAAAAACTATTTTGCTGTTATCTCTCTTCATACTTGAATCCTGGACAATAACTCGTTTTCTGTTAGAGGTGAGCCAAGAACCTTGAGAGCATTGTGGCTGGACCAGTGAATACCAATGAAGAAGCGTTTCGGCCCCCATATGGGCATTGGATGGGTAGTTTCATTAGTCAAATTTGGGGGGTTGGAGAGGGGGAAGAGGAACTGCCCAGGGGCAGTAAGTGCTTCATGTGTAGTTAGGGTCAACGACTAAACACAAGAAAGCGAGGGAGACAAAGATGAAGTAGGGGACAGTAGAATAAAATGTTCTTTCGCTATCCAGGGCAAAAATGGTAAATTAAATTTAGTATTAATATTCCCCCATGTGAGTTCCGGGGCCCCATTGTGGGGAAAACAAGAATAGACCCACTGCCTCCCCAAGAGCATGTCGTAAGAGTCGACTAATTGGGGAGCTTCCTTTGAAGTCGGAGTGCATCTGCCGGAGAGGCAAGGAACCAACAGTCTGTATTCAAGAGAATGAGATCTGTAAAACTGATGCACACGCAACACTCAAGTTCTGGAGCAGGACTGCAGTTCAGTAGTGGACGAGCAACCAGAACTTTCCGCCAGTGTACAGCTGGTGAACGCGAAGAAGAATAAGAAGAGTATTAATATATTCTTATTCATGTTATTTTCTTATACATGTTACAGCACTTTCACGCCTTTCTTTACTTTGGTTTAAACATGCATCCTAGAATAGCAAAACTTACCCATTGGTCAGGGCATACTTGATGTGGTTGGAGGTGGTGTAGACGAAGACCCCACTCTCATCCCAGGAGCCTGACTTGATGCGGATGTTTTCATGGATCGTGCACAAGTTCTCCAGCTTGCGGTTGCAAATGGAGATCACTGAAAACACATGACCTCAAACTTTGAAGATGTCCTTAAACTTGTAAGTGAGGATAGGACATACACAGGACATTTCGGTGTGACACACATGTGACTGTATTAAAAACACATGACCTCAAACTCACAGAAGAGCTGAAGACAAACAGAACATATCTGACATAACGTGCCTGAAATTCTACAATAGCAGACTCATTACAGAAATACAGAAAAAACAAACTTCTGTTCCAATGGCTCCAACAAGAAAGCTGATAAGGGAAATGTCCCAAGAAAAATATCTTTTAGAGTCCTCTAGTCCCGGAGTGAGGAATTAGATTATCAGCATATGTCTTCTACTTATATATAAAGACATGCCGTGGGTCTAGTATCAAAATGGGGTGTCCTCACTATTAATATACTGACTCCAAGAAACTCTTGCAAGTACATTCTCGTACACTGCTGTTCGTCCATCTCTCGAGGCTGTCCTCCCATTTGAATCGTTGACTAACTCTTGCTCTCCTGCCCTCAACTCTTTCCTCCAGTAAGGTCATTAAACGAGTGCTACGGCTTTTAATTTGGCCGAACTATCTTAATTCTCTTTTTAATTTCTTTCAGTAACTCCCTTTTCAATCTCAGTGTCCCCAGAGCTCTGTATCTGACAGTTTTTGCTTCCATAAAATGAAATCATTTTTTTTAAATCAGATCAACTATTCGACAAACAGCTACAGACAAGACTCACCATGTTTGCTGATCAATGCCACAGTGGCCATGTCGTTTGACCAGATGACAAACTTGACCTTTGAGATCTTGACAGTGGCCAGAGTTCTGGAGAGAAGAAGAAAAAAAAAAACCATAAGCAGAGGTGAATTCCATCCAGATCTTACAGATGATCAAACTCACCCACATTTACATAAATTTAAAACTACTCACCAACTGTTTTGAAAAGCATGATTATTTCCATGTAAACCGTCTTTATCCAAAGCAAATATCTTACAAATTAGGAGCAATGTCTGTAACAATATTATGCTTGACTGGCTAATACATCATCTTCTCCTTTGTTCACTGGCTAATACATCATCTTCTTCTTTGTTCACTGGCTAATACATCATCTTCTTCTTTGTTCACTGGCTAATACATCATCTTCTTCTTTGTTCACTGGCTAATACATCATCTTCTTCTTTGTTCACTGGCTAATACATCATCTTCTCCTTTGTTCACTGGCTAATACATCTTCTTCTCCTTTGTTCACTGGCTAATACATCTTCTTCTTCTTTGTTCACTGGCTAATACATCATCTTCTCCTTTGTTCACTGGCTAATACATCATCTTCTTCTTTGTTCACTGGCTAATACATCTTCTTCTCCTTTGTTCACTGGCTAATACATCTTCTTCTCCTTTGTTCACTGGCTGTAAGCTCTGGCAGAAAGACCTGATTGTTTGACCTTTTGGACTTTAGCTTTGTACCAGGACCTGAGTTTTGCATGTACGTCCATTTTACTGGATTATTTGTGTGCAGTTAGTTGTTCCTTGCCGCTCTGGCAGATGTATCCTGACTTTTAAGGAAGTCCCCAATTAGCCGACTGTTAGGATGTGCTTGTTGGAGAAACAGTGGGTCTATTCTTGTTTTCCCAACAAGAGGGCCCCAGAGCATACACAAAAAGACTGGGATGTACGTAATAACCATCAAACAGAGTGACCACAGACAGACAGTAATTACCTCTTCTACTGGACATCAAACAGAGTGACCAAGAACAGACAGTAATTACCTCTTCTACTGGACATCAAACAGAGTGACCAAGAACAGACAGTAATTACCTCTTCTACTGGACATCAAACAGAGTGACCACAGACAGAAAGTAATTACCTCTTCTACTGGACATCAAACAGAGTGACCACAGACAGACAGTAATTACCTCTTCTGCTGGACATCAAACAGAGTGACCACAGACAGACAGTAATTACCTCTTCTGCTGGACATCAAACAGAGTGACCACATCGGGCTCCTTCAGCAACAGACACCCAGTGCCAGCGTAGAAGATGTCCTCACAGTTGGGAGCCTGCACCTTTTTGGTGATTTCATTCTTCAGGTTCTTGATGATGATCTGTCAGAGGCAACAAATAAAAGCCACACAATTAAATATGTTTTGGGTTCTGGAGTTCCTTGGGGGGAGAGGGGGGGGGGGGGGGGGGGAAGACACAAGCTGGTTGTGCTTTCCCATCGCTGTACTTCAGTGATCATACTTACTATGTGACAATTATAGCAAGAGAGAGAAAAAGGGAATGAATAATTATATGTGGGCGTGTATGATTATCCCCCCCCCCTCACTAAATGACTGGAATTGCAGTGAATGTAGCACGTAGACCTTCGCCTGCTGGCCCAAAGGTCTTGGGTTCAAATCCGCATCAAGTCGACTTTTTGTTTACAAAAATGAAATGGGCTTCCAGGCTGATCCAGCCTAAAACTGCTACTGGTAAAGTCCTGGGAAGTAAAGGCAGCTGTCATGATGCTCACCACACCATAAACTGGGTGCCAATTGGTTTATAAAAGTCCAGTATCATTTGGCCCCTATGCCACTGAAGTAAAAAGGGTCCTCGACAACCTGATCGCATCTCTTCTGTAACTGCTTCCAAGGCTGTATGTAGTTCAGGCCAGGGTTAATAAACAGTAATCCTAGTACTTTCTCGTGCTGGGAAGGAGGCCAGGGACATTACATCCTTCAGCCAAGTGTTGCCCCTACAAGGGCCTGACTTAGTTAACGACTGCACACCCTACAGCAATACAGTTCTACAGCCCAATACAGTTCTTCGGCACAAAGGCAGCCCCTTGAACGTAGCCTCTGTGGGTATGCCCAGTGTACTGTGATGTCGATTCTTAAACCAGTAATCTCTTCTATAATGCATACACCATTTCACCCCCAAATCCCCTTCATATGGCCTGGTATATGTGATGAAGCATCTATTCCCAAAAAGCTGGGGTATTTTGGCCATATTAAGTGTAAAGGTAGACTGGAAAGAAGGGTGATGGAGGGTGTAGGTTCTAGGAAATTAGGCAGAGGCCAACCTCCACTAATGTAGATAGAAGACACTAAAGATGCATAAGCTATGCGAGTGCATAGGGCAGGAGAACTGTATTAAAGAAAGAGACACTTTCAGGCGTGCCGCTAAGAGAGAGAGCTCCGTAAAGAACCTACTGGTTGTTAATTTTCATGTTAAGACGTCAGATACAGAAGATTACCCTGGCTGTTTCCTGTGCATTCTTGGTACACTGCCCTCAAATGACTACACATGTTCATTACAAATGTAAGAACTACTTACTGAATGTGTTCTGTCCAGAACTGCAAAACGATTCCTGGCCACCCACACAGCAGTCAGACCAGATGAACGTTTCCCTTCAGGGGCTGAAAAAATAAATAGCAGCCACAATCAAAATATTTCCTCCTACAGTAATCACAGATCCAATCATTCAACAGAAGTATAACCAACGAGAATGCTCAAGATTTCAGTTCCACAGCTTCAATACGCACACCCACCCCTGACAGACATGTGGAGCAGTCACAGTTCTCACTCTGCATTTGCCCTTCAGAGAATGGTTGACCTGTTGTGTTGTGGTTCACAGCAAGGCTGCCACCTGCTGGAAAGAGCTAGATAGGAGTTGGCTAAGAATCTATAATACACTGGAAGACAGAATGCAGAATGTGCAGTGCTCCCTGTTGATCCACAAAAGGTGCAGCCCATGGGGAGCGGGAAGCTCAATATATGGATGTGAGGTTAAGCAGTCATGTGCAGGATGTGACGACTCCTTGGGTGAGCCCAGTACCAGAGCATTGTGTGTCGGCTCTGCATTTATGGAAGCCTCTGTGGACGGCAGGCAATGCTCATGATCTGCCCTTGCCTTTCCTTGAGGGTGACCAGACTAAACATGGTTGTCCTGGACGGGTTCTCCAGGAATAACACCCGCAAATAATAGGACACAGAAGACACCACCCAAATACGGCTGAATCATGTCCCTTAAAACAAACAGGAAAAGCTAACCTGTTGAAGGTGCAAAAAACGCAGCTATGCTGTAAACTGGCACAACGCAATTATGTCACTCTAATGAACAATGAAGAAGAAGAAGAAGAAGAAAAGCATAAGAGTAACTGAGGTGGAGGATACAACTGAAGACAACAAAAGCTACAACACAACTCACCATCAGGGTTCTGGGAGTCTGTCTCTTTAGGTATTACATACAGGTCATAAGTGCTGTTATCCACATTGGATGCTTTCTAAAAAAAAAAATATACAGAAAACAAGAACAATGAAAAAGAAAAAAAAACAGTTTTAATAAAAGGATTAACTGATCAACCCTTTTTTACCATGTATAAAGAGATAAAGATGTTTGTAAGTTAGTTAATTAAAAGATTATCCTTACTGTACATCAGACAAGATGTATACATAAGCACTCAGATCCCATCTTCATAGGGGCAAGATGGCAGATGTCATCTTTGTGTTTTCTATCACCATTAATTATGCATAACAAGAATGGATAAAGATGTATAAAGGTGTAATGAATAAAGACTAGGGGTTACAGCTAATTTGTTGAAAGAGACCGAGCACCTATAGGCTGCTATGAGTGCTATGTTAATTCTTAATTTTAAAAAAAAACACACACACACAAATGACATGGTTACGTACTGTGCACAGAAGAATGGCATTCTCCGCTGGGTTGTACGACATGGAGTATATTGGTGATCTTGATCCACTGAAGACAGAACATACAGACATTCACTGTATCATTTCTGTGCAAATGAGTATTATGACATTAATATATAATCCCATAACAGATACAGCCATCACCCGTGTGTTGTCGGGGCCCATAAGAGTGGCTTCTTCCTCTTGTGTTCGCTTTCTTATTAACATAGAAAAGTTCTTGTGATAAACTTGACTGTTTTTTAGGCATTCCTTTTTCTGACATTGTAATCATATATAAAGCGGTGGTTTGTGTTGTACTGTGGATTTTCATCTGCCTTCTGGTCCAGTTTTTCTGACTTCAGGGCCTCTTGAGAGGAAGAATGGGTTCATGCCTTTGCCTTGTTTTGTTGTCCCATCCAGTTTCCCGCTGGCGGTTGAGACTCCAACCTTCCACTGGATTGCTGGGAAGAACAGGGTCAACCACATGAAGGTGAGGTAGGCTTGAGCAAGAGAGGCTAATAGACATAAAGAGTCTTGTATTACGCATGACTGTTCCATTGGGACCAAATAAGAGAGACTAAGAATAGCAGTATGTAGCCCACACAGCATGAGAACTGGTCAGCCATTTCACACTCATAGTAAACAATTGCGCATACTTCCACTCTCTTCTCTTTAACCTGATTTCTAAACGACAATCACCCTCTTGTTAGCCAACCCTCCTCTTTCTCAGAACTACCCTCTGAGCTTCATGACATCGCTTTTCTCCCTCAGTCTTATCTCTGAGTGGCATGCTCCCATACCTCTCCCATAGACCTTTCCTCTAGCTGCATGACCCCCACCCCACTCCCCCAGACCTACTCTGACCAGCAAGACCCCCTCTCCCCCAGACCTACTCTGACCAGCGAGACCCCCTCTACCCTAAACCTTTCCTCTAGCTGCATGACCCCCACCCCTCTGACCAGCAAGACCCAATGAGACCTACCCTCTCAGGTGCGTAACATTGCTCCCCTCCCTGTGACCTACCCTCTGAGCTGCATAACAGCGACATCCTTGGAACTGTTGAAGTCCAACTTCCTCAAGTACTTGTCCTTGACATAGTACAGGGTGTTGTTGTGGACAGCAAATGGTGGTCGTTCTCGCTCCAACTTGAAAATAATCATACCTGCATCGTGTCCTGTTTCGAAAGAACATAAAAAAGTATTTAGCGCGTTTATAATGCTACTCAAGTGTCAACTTGTTAACACTACTCATACTTTTAGCACAAATAAGTGAAGCTGTGTGTATTTCTGCACTCACAGTTATTTTTTACCCCAAAAGTTTATCTGATAAGAAAATTTTAAAGTACTTATATTATGTCTGAAGTTGAAAAAGGGGAGCGGGGGAGGAACGGAGAGAAGAAGGGGATTGGGGGGGAGATATGGAGTGTATTTGGTTACGTGTATATGTGTTATTGTTTTTTCTTTCCCTTCTTCGTGTTCGCCCCAGCTGTAAACTCTGGCAGAAAGTTCTGGAAGTTCGACCACCTCTGGACTCTAGTCCTGTTGCAGAACCTGAGTGGTGTGTGCACACCCATTTCACAGGTCTGTCTGTCTTTGTATGCAGACTTTTAGATCCTTGCCTCTCCGACTTCAAAGGATGGCCCCAATTAGTTGACTCCTATGACATGCTTGTTGGGGAGACAGTGGGTCTATTGATGTTTTCCTCATAATGGGGCCCGGAACCCATAAGGAGGTATGTGTTTGATCGCGTGTATGTGTTCCATTAAACTTTTTGGATAATTTAGACTAGAATAAACTTTCAGACAAAAGACTTGAGTGCAAGATGTTGCTCGTAACTGAGATAAGAAATTAAAACTGACAATGAAAATGGTGACAGTGTCAAACTGTCACTACCGTTTGTATTTACCACCTGTCAGGGTGGTGTAGACAGGGGGGTCGTGAGCCTAAGGATTTAGGGCCTTATGTCTAGTGCCGTCGCCATGGACTGTGCAGGTTAGTATGTTTAATTCTGCCCCCGACAGAAAAACTCCATCACCTTACCGGGGGGGGGTGTCGAACCAGGGTCTCCCACACGAGAACCCGATGTTGTAACAGCTCAGCTTGCTGCTCCTCTGGTGTAAGGCAGCATAATATAATCACCCTTCCTTATGGTAGTGGCAAATGATGATGATGGATTCTCATGAGTAAAACATTACCAAAAACTGTTCTACCCACCTGCAGCAAACAAATTGAGAGAAGGATGAGCGGCCATGACCCAGAACCTATCATGTTCTCTTCTGAAGGTCTGCACACCGGTTCTAGTCAACAAAATACAGCAAAACAGTGTGTAAACATCTTCAACACAACATACTGTATAAAACTTCTGAAACCCTATGCTTCTCTTTCTTTTATCTAGCCCTGTTCTGTCTTTCAGGTCAGTTTATGAAGAACTGTGTGTGTGTCTGCACACACATTGGTATTCATGGCCTCTGATATTTCATCTATCCACTGCTAGCGCGAGTAACCTCTGCCTCCGTTATGTCTAAGGGATAGGACTTTCAGTGGTGCACTGTCTGGTGATAGTCTTGACACATGACTGAACCATTTGATCTGTTGTCTATTGATGCAGTCTTTTATCACATTTAGATATTGATGAAGGCATTTTATGTCTGTTGATTCGATTTTGGTTGTTTTGTTACAAAGGTAGTTAAAATGTACCAAACAGAGGCTCTTTTGGGTGTCAACTGTTGCATGTTTGTTCTGCAATACTAGTGGCATCTGTCCAAAGATCTTATTTGCTTTACTACACCTGTATTCTATACATGCTTCTATTTTTTTCACTGGATGGTATTACCTGAAACTTGGAACACCACTAAAAGAGATAAAGGCTTATTACAGGTTTTCAAAAACAGAGTCTTATGGCGAATCTTTGGACCATTCAAAGATATAAACAGCGGGGAATGGAGAGTGAGAAGCAACAACACAAATTCATAATCTGTTTAAATCACCACTGATCTTTGGCATCATAAGAGCAAATATGCTGAAATGGCTGGGGCATACTGAGAGAGTGTCAGATGACAGAGAGGTAAAAATTGTATACACAAGGGACATGAATGGTCGTGGACCACGAGGCAGACCAAGAAGATGATGGAGAGACCTGCAAACACTTGGTGTTACCAACTGGAAAGAGAAGGCCACCAGAGAGATGAACGGAGGCAGGTGATATCTGCAGCAATGAACCTCAAGGGCTAAGAATGCTGAAGAAGAAGAAGAAGAACAGGATACATGCTGTCTTTTGCTTGCTTTAGCTATCGCTTCTCTATGCAGATCCTGATTGATTGTTCTGTTCTTGACAGGCATAACTTGACAGTGTTTTTTTTTTTTCAATATTAATTTAGATTATCCAGGCGTCTCCTTAGATCCTCCTCTGTAGTTGCCATATGAGCTTAGTCGTCCACAAAGAGAAATTCACTGCACTTACTGTCCTCATTAATGAAGGATGTTTGACTGATCTGACCTATTTACGTGATAAATATGTGACTCCTTGAATATGAAAGTACACGAGGTGGGAGAGCTGGTGAGAGACCAAGTTTCTTTCAGGCAGACCGTGATGAGAGCGAAGTTCTGCAAAGAACCTGCTACATGATGATGCGATAAATAGCAGGAAGGACACTTTATGCTAAATGGCATTAACATAAAAAAATTGAAGGTCAAAGAAGAAACACTGAACAATGGAAGCCAAGAATGTTAACATATGCCAACCTCTTGCTCATATCCCACACTCGGATACTCTTATCCTCAGAGTTACTCAGAATCAGCTCCTGTCTGGGGTGGAACAGGCAACATGATACGTTGTTGTAGTGACCTCGGCAAGTATCCACTTCCCAAGCTTTGGACTCTGAAATTAAAATAACTAATTTTACTGATCACAATTCACGTCATTATCCGGGGTTAAAAGAAACATCTCATACAAAGCATATTCATTCCCACCCTATGCTACAAGTGCCAGACATGGTTACTCACAACAAAACATAAAAGAAAATTAGTAACCATGGAAATAATGTGTCTGAGAAAGACTGTAGGAGTGACCAGAAAAGATCAAATCAGGAACAAGGTCATATGAGATGAAGTCGGCACAGAACCAATTCTAAATTACATACAAAGACAGCAAATCTATACCATACAAGGCATATACCAAAAGAGGAGAAGGATGTAGAGCAAGAGGTAGACCAACAAGATGGGAAGATAATATCAGTGAAACTCTACAGCACCATGTGTCTGTGGTTGAAGAAGCCAGAAGAGCTTAAAGCAGGACCTTATATCTCCCTCGACACCCAAAGCAGTAAAAGAGGACACAAAGAAGAAGATCCAGGATTAATGCTATTTGCTACTTATCGCCATTTTATGCAACAATCACTCATTAGCGCTAACATTATCCATAATCTCTTTCAGCTGCAAGGAAAGCATCATATGTCCATAGCCTCCTATCTAGAAGCCCAACGAACACAGGATGTGCCGAGTCTATGTCTCACTTTAATCATTACATGAGCCTCTGGTGCTAAACATCCATGGGACAGTTAAACCCTCTAGGACTAAAAGGGGTAATGCCCCAACTTCTAATTAGTGCTACAATTCTCATTTAATACAGCTGATGTACTCTAACACAAATGTCTAATTAATATTACATTCCCAACCCATGCAGCAAGTCTAATTTAGATTATTCTCAATGAATGCAATAAAAATTAATGCTGTTCTTAAGAATTTGCTTAGAGGAACGGGGGAAAGTGACTTGAGTGCGGCATCTTTGATATGGAAAACTGCATTGAAGATTGCACAGGAGAGGAAAGCATGGAAAGTCCTCTCTGAAGCCTCATGTGCCACTAGGTATAAGGAGAATTGATGATGATAATGCAATACTATTCTCAATTAATGCAGAAATTCCAAACTAATGGTCTTATTCACAACCAATGCAAAGTTTGTAATTAAAAATACTATTTATTTTCAACAATGAGCAGAGAGGCAACCACTGAGGCCATAGAAATGTTAATTTTATACAATAAACAAACAGACAATGTACTGATCACCACTCACAGAAAGAGGTACAAGATTTAAGGACACATAAGACAATATAAAAATTGAAAACTATAGTTACTGTGCCGGGCATCGAACCTGTCACCTCCAAATGGGGTGTGCGCTTTGCTTAGGAAACAAGTGTGCTAAGAACATGACCAACCAGGCACCCCTTGCCGCAGTTTTCTACTGTTTCCACTGGGATACCTGATAGTGGCCTATTTAGCAACTCAGTAAAATATTCCTGCCATCTGTCAACCTTCCCTCTTTCCGTTGTGATTATTCCTCCTGTTGTGTCTCTCGGGTTTCCTTTATTTAGGTTGAAATGTTTAAGACTAAGATCCTTTGTTATTTTAAACAGTATCATCTGTCATTGCTGCTTCTCCCGCTTTGGCAGCTTTGAGTTTTATGTATTACTTTTTGCATTCTTTAAACTTTTCTTTACTTCTTTATGTTTGGTGTTAATTGCTTTTTGTGCTGCCATCTTTTCTAATGTGCTCTTTGCAAAGATTATGCGCTATTTTTGCATTTTTCTTTCTTCTAACTTTGACCAAGATTCTGTAGATATCCATTCCTCTCTCACACATTTCTTCAAACCAAGTATCTTTTGGGTTGCATTGCAATATGTATCTTTAGACTGCCCATTCTTCTTCAGTATTTGCTGTCTCTGGTAGATGGTTAAACACCTCGAACTGAACCTGATTACTGAAAAGTATAGAAAGTCTGCTATCTGCCAATGTCAACAATAGAAAAATTAATATTACAACTAAACCCAAACATACCATTCATCCTCCAGAGTTTAATCTGTCTGTCATCGGCCCCTGAGACAATCAAAGGGAGAGTAGGATGGAAGGCAGCCCAGTTAACTCCCCTGTCATGACCCTCAAGAACATGTTTGACAATAGCATCAGAAGTACCAAAGAGATCCGTCTGGCCAGGGTTTCTCAGACGATCCTCAATTCCACCAGGTCCAGGGGACACATTTTTCTTCCGCAGACCTAGAGAGAGAGAGAGAGAGAGAATTTTAACATTCAGTTTGAGGAGAAGGCAACTCAATGAGTAGCGTCTCTGATGTCTTGAATCCATAACCAAAGCAATGACTCGTATCAAAGGTAAAGTAAAAGACCTCAATTATGCTGCAACTAAGAGTTTAATCATTTATAGTAAGCAGAGAATCCAGGCTATCAGAAGAGTAGAGAATCCAGGCTATAAGAAGAGTAAAGAATCCAGGCTATCAGAAGAGTAGAAAATCCAGGCAATCAGAACAGCAGAGAATCCAGGCTATCAAAAGAGTAGAGAATCCAGGCTATCAAAAGAGTAGAAAATCCAGGCTATCAAAGGAGTAGAGAATCCAGGCTATCAGAAAAGTGGAGAATTCAGGCTATCAGAAGAGTGGAGAATTCAGGCTATCAAAACAGTAGAGAATTCAGGCTATCAAAAGAGTAGAGAATTCAGGCTATCAAAAGAGTAGAGAATTCAGGCTATCAAAAGAGTAGAGAATCCACAGGCTATTTATTAAAAGATTAGAGAATCCAGGCTATCAGAAGAGTAGAGAATCCAGGCTATCAGAAGAGTAGAGAATCCAGGCTATCAGAAGGATGGACAGATACCTATCAAAATTTGCTAAGGCTATAAGCTGTATGTGAATGCTCAATGCTGAATTAATAATCGACAACACAGCACTTTTGACACTCCCATAAGTGCTCCGTCTCCATCTCCAGCAGCAAGCGAAGAGTTCTAATTCCGATGGCACTTGGAACAGTCTGAATGTACATCCCTCTCAAACTTTCACCTGAGTGTTGGTCAGATCCCTTGGTAACTCCTTGTGGCACCATTCTTCACAGACTATAATGATCTGTGTCTCCACACTGTTCATTCGCTCCCAAGGGCCCTCACAACATCTAGCTTGTCATACATCAGTTTGCCACCAAGTGGTGCAGAACTGGCCAGTCTATCTGACTGCTGATTTCCCAACACACCAGCACGACGCGGAGAAAATATCTTCAGGTTGCTAACTAACAATGACCTCTGAAGCGATGCTTGCCCCTCTGCACGGAGCATGCATGTCTCCACCTTTCTCAACATGCTCTGTTAATCATGTTATAATTATGACACATGTGTACAGCTGATTCTCAATCCAGCAGAAGGCAGCATTGACTGCCTCCACCTCCATTCTTAAACTAGATGTTATATTATATGCCAGGCTTTGTTGCACTAACTCTGTCAGTCCTAAGGAACGCATCATACGTTCTCAGGTCCCTGCCTAGAAGCCCAGTGAACGCAAGATGTACCGATCATATGTCTCTCTTTATTACCCCTTGGGCATCTGATGCCAAATCCCCTGGGATTGAAAGTCAAGAGTTAAGTTTAGTGCATTCGCTTTTGCTATGAACCCCTTGGCACTTCATGTGACTCTCAACAGAACCATCTGTATAGATAATCACATCACCTGGGCGGGAATTGTCATGAATCATCTGCCGAACTTCTGATTCTGCAGCACCAGCTGGCCAGTCCCTGCACTCATGACCTAAAGAGATTACAGCCCTACACACGTCTGGTTCTTGCTTGAACACTCTGACCCACTCCTCTCCTCGACCAAATTAATCAAGCCTGTCTGTGTCTTCAGCTTGCGCCATTCAAGACCTTCCTCTTCTAAGTGTGTGTCCCTTAGCTTCTCTACCTAGGGCCTCATGCAGGAGGTGTCTCTTGCTTGCAGCTACTCTGAGTTTGTGACTTTGCTTGAAATAGGAGGCAGTGAAAGTATATATCTGACCAGCTTTGTGTAAACAAAAGGATTACATGGTTAACCTTAAAACTCTGTGGTGAGATATACAACGCAACAAGAGACTTTGTGATTTGAGTGTTTCAGTTCAAATTATTCATTTTTGTTTTCTTTATATGTTGATATGTAAATTCTGTAGTAATGCGCGTGACAAGATGCAACTAAATTTATCAAGTAATAAATTAACAATATACTGTTTCTTTTGTCAGGGGCTGTGTGGCCTCGAAACATGGGTCGGCCTAAAGTTCTGGAGGTCCCGGTGAAGGCTGGGGCTTTTTCACGTTGACTTCTAGTAATTTCCCCTGGTGTCTGTGTAGTAAGATCAGACGCCTGTGTCTACTGCTGCACACATTAAAAAAAATCTACCTAAAGTATTTCAGGAACCTCGCCATGCTACGAAGTTTGTGGACTGCGCTGAGATTCTTCAGAGTCAGACTTGAGTTAGAACTGAGCACTTATGGGTTACCCTTGTGCCATGATGCTGATCCGTTGTTTTAACCTTTAAACTGTTTGTATTGTCAAAATTTCAATACTGAACTACATCAAGAGACAACAAACACATTCATGTTCTCTTTCTTTAGAACATGCCGTTTGGCATTGGCAGTCATATCAATCCCAAGCTTCTGACTTGTGTACCTTCAGTTATTTCTGACACAGATGATCTTCCATGCCATGACGTCAAACCGCCCAGCATCTTCTGTCTCAGGGGCACGATATTTCTTTGCAAATACTCACAGGAGGTTGCAATTTCTTTATGTGAGAGCAATGCCACTTCTGGGATGGGCTGTTCTAGCCATTGTGCCTATAGAGCAGTTGCTCTCAACCTTCCTTATGCCATGATCCTTAAATACAGCTTCCTCATGTTGTGGCGACCCACAGACAATTATTTTTATTCATAACTTTAATGAATATGAGTTTTCTGATGGTCTTAGGCGACCCCTGTGAAAGGGTCATTCGACCTAAAAAAGGGTCACGACCGGCAGGTTGAGACCCGCTGCTACAGTGGCATCCCCTGCCTAACAGTTAAAATGGTGGCCAGTACTGAAAACTCTCTCTCTATTCTCATGTTGTACCCCACCAGGACATCACACAAGCGATAAACACCCGGTGACACACAGTGCCACCATGCGGATGAGGATTTATGGCACAGCTATATTGAGGGCCCACGGCAAAAGCCATGGTGTGGTTTCAAATAATGAAAATCTGCATCCCACACAGGGGCGAGTAACTGAATGTTTCTCAGCTGCTTCCCATGTTTATCCACTACCTGCCTGCCATGACCTTATGGTACCTTGACCGGGGAGAGAAGAGGGAGGCTAACCTACTCTGCCCATGAGGTGTCCTGAAGGCCAGTGGAGGACAGGAGGTACTAAATACCTCCTGTCGGTAGAGTTTACGCTGCCACAGTGTCCGCAAATTCAGGTTGAAGAAGTGGTTTCCAACCTAATTCAGGTGCCATCTCCCTTGAGTATATGGCAAGACCACGCCCACCAAAACAATGAAATGTGAAAAAGAAGAGGACAATGGGCTAAAGGCTCTTAACTTATCTTCATACTGAAACACTCACCAGAAATGTCCCACACTCGAACAGTCTGATCCAGGGAGGCAGAAACAACCAGGTCCTCGGAGGGGTGGAACTGAGCACACATCACATAGTGACTGTGGCCGGTCAAAACGCTGTTGTGATATACAATCCACAAGCAATGTTGGGTGTGCTTAGAAACCACTTGTCTTCACAGTTTCAATATTCTAACACTTGTTTTAAGTACACAACAGAATATGACAGCAACGCTAAATATTCCAAAAAATTAAATGATAAATATACTTTAAACAAAATTTATTTGTGACCTGTGTAAAATGGTGACATACCAACAATTCTTTTTTTTTAATGATTTTTTTTTTTTAAATTCCCACACATTCATAGACCATTTTTAAGCGTTCTGAAGGTGAAAGGGATAACAGTCAAATAAACAACAACATTGGAATATAAAATGTACTTGTAACAAATGGCTGAGTCTGAGTAGGTTCAGTCACACTCCAGTTCAAGTTATTAATTAATCATCAACAAGTGCAGTGGACATATTGTGATATATCCAGCCAAATATGAATCTGACACTTTTCAACTTGCCTTCCTTTATCTCTCTTTCCATAAATATTTCCACCTGTCACAATATGTTCCGTTCTGTTTCCCTTTTCATAACATGGCCAAAAATTATGAACTGCCTCTTTCTGGTCATTGTGATAAATGATTTCACAGTGTAGCAAAGCTCTCATCTTTGTGTCTGTCTGTGTCACACCCAGGTTCATCTTTTGTTTGCTACTGGGATTCATTAAAAGATTATAGATGAGGAGAAAGATGGTCGGGTCAGTAGTGGTGATGAGGATGGTGTCTCTTGCTAACTGTACGCTTCTCTTGTTACTCTGATGCTTTTAGAAAAAATTGTCTTGAAACAACTCTTCTTTTGTATATACTGCCTTTATTGTGATACCTCAATGATACGACGAATAACATCAGTTATATCCATCATAGCAGCTGATTTTTCTCTATAGTTATATACTCAATCTTCATCTCTGTTTACTTCTGAACTGATTCTAGTATTTGTAGTTGCTGCCTAGTTTCTAGTGATGTCTGGTGCTAACAGTCTTATCATTGACTCAAAGATCTTAGCAATGTTTTTTTTTCAAATGTGTCTCTGTTGACCGTGGATCCATGTATCTTGCCCGTTGTCTCTGTAGTTCAATGTTTTGTTTCATGTCCCCTCTCTAGTGTCTGTTTTTGAACTCAAGGCTGTTCCTCTCCCTCTAGTGTTTGAGCTGGTATCTCCATGAATGAAGGTTCTTCCTAACATGTAAGTTGAGTTGAGTCAAGAATTGACATCACTGCACTCAGGGCATTCCCATGCATGCTCCGTCCTCATCTTCAGTAGCCAGCACTGAGTTCCAATACTGATGATACCGGTCACAGTCTGGTTATATGTCCGCCTTCCTTTCCTCTGAGTGTAGTGAGCCAGCCAGACTCTCTGGTTACACCCAGGTGCTTCATTCTCTCCAGGCCATAATAATCTTGTTTCTCTACTGATTCCGTTGCTTGTCCCCAAAGGGCCTTGACCAAATTCCTAACATGTAAGGGTTTATGATATTAGTCCTTCCTCTTCCAAGTCCTGAGGACTGAATGTTCTCGAATGTCTGGGTCCAAATGACTGGACTACTATAACCTGTAACTGACAGGTGGCTGGAACATGACCTCACCACATACACACCTCTGCCACATTCATGCTCACCTGGTGCAAGTACGGGACTGCCAGTTCCAGATACGGATTGTTTGATCATCAGAAGAACTCAGCACCCAAGGGTATTCCTGTGGATTTGATAACCATTAACACTGACAGGGGATCTGCCATTAGCACTGGTTTACTGTGGATAGAACTGAGGATGGTGCACTAAAGGCAAACAGGTATAGATGATGAAATAATATGTGTGGGAGACAGGTGGTATAGATGATGAGGTAATATGTGTGGGAGACAGGTGATTTAGATGATGAAGTAAAATGTGTGCGGGAGACAGGTGATATAAATGACAAAGTAATATGTGTGGGATGCAGATGGTACTGATGATCAAGTAGTCTGTGTGTGAAGTGGTCACATCACGCCAGCCACCTTTACTTCACAGGACTTCACATGGTACCCATTTGATCCTGGGTTGACCTGAGAGCCAAAGCGTTTTTTTTTAAATGTCTGGCTCTGAACCCACAACTTTTGGATCTGCAGGCAAGAATCTAGCCGCTACACCACCGCAACTCTCACAGATGATACTGAAAATCATGCAACGTGGTGGGAGACTTTGAGAAGGTACAGATGACCAAGTAGTCACACAGAAAGATGGCAACACAATTTCAAATAGTCTGTACTGACCAATCCTTGGTAACCTGTTTTTTTACCTCTGGATTTTTTAGATCAAACCTTGACCATTGCCCATTTCCAGCGCATCTTTTCCAATGGAAGCCTGACAAGATAGCCTGGACACCTTCCTATATAATTAAAGCTACAGCCAAGAGGATCGGCCTCACTGCTCTGGGTTTTATCCCAAATAGCTCAGTCTCTCTCTCAGCAGAATGGCTTGCTGCCTGTCTAGTGTTGTGCACAACATGAAGGCCTCAATCCTATGGAATCTATGGGGAAAAAAACTGCACTCATGAACTCAATGCTGCCCATGAAGCAACCCCATGATCATCACAGTGCGAGGCAAATGGTCTGATCACCATGGAGACTTCTTTCCATACAAAGGAAAAATACAACTGTTTAGCAAACATGCATGTCCTCCACTGGTGGAGAACATGTATAAACACAGCTGGAGTTATGCTTGTAACAGCGTTGGTGACATTTTAATTCTTTTTATGTACAGAAGCGTACAGAAATATTGTACAGTCCCCACAGTGTGCCTGTCAAACAGGACCACAAACACCTGAGCACATTCTGCAGACCTGCCCACACTGTACATATAACTTTTAAAAAAAGACACCTAGCCTCAAGAGCAAAGTGTGCAGAGCAAGGTATAGGGAACCATGAAGGACCTGCTACTGACTAACCGTTCATAGAGGCAACCCATCTGATGGTTTGATCTGAGCATAAAAAACCGAGCGCAAAGAATAAGTAGAAAGAAGAAATATACAGAATACCCTGAATTACAATCACAAAATAATGACTGCATCCTTACATCTATGATTAAATTACTTTCTTATATCCTCATAGTCACGTGCCCTGAAAAATAATGCAGTCATCCTTTTCCACAGACCCATCCTTAGTGTTATTTTTATTAAAAATAAGTAAAACTGTCACACATTTTTACCATTTTAAATACAAACCATTTTTCTAAACAGAAAGGATTACATCTCAAACTTACATGGTGAAAGAATGTGGTTCGGATGTAATCTAGATGTCCAAGAAGTGTAAAAAGACACCGCCTCAACTTGTAATTCCAAACCTACAAAAAAAAAAGAGAAAAATACAAATTCTAGCTGAGGGTATAATGTATCATCATCCTGTGCTATTTATACTTTTCTGCATTTATCTATAAAAAGACAGTCTGCGAGTCTTGTGTTGTGGTTTACAGCTAGGCTGTAATATCTTCACCTTTCGACCAACACATCCAATTTCAGTAAATATCTCATTAGTCACCTTTCCCAAAAAAAAGCTCGTTAGGGGGCAGCAAGTCTTTTCGTTTTTCCCCTTCTTCTTAGCGTTCACCTGCTATAAACTCCGGAGGAAAGTTATGGTTGTTCATCCTCTTTTGAACTCTGGTCCCTCTTTTGAAGTCTGGTCTTGCTCCAGAACTTGAGTTCTGATCTGTCTTACTTGTATGCAGACTTATGGTCCCTCACCTCTTAAGCGGACACACGCCAACCTTAAAGGAAACATCCCTAATTAGCTGACTTCTATGACATGCCCCTTTGGGGGCAGTGGGTCTGTCCCCCCCCCCCCCCACAAAATGGGGCCCTGGAACCTACACAGAAAAACATGCTATGTTGCAAACAATAGCACACTGTCACATCTGCCATCACTTGTTTCAACGCTGAACCAACAAGAAAGATGGATCCATGAAATCTGGGATGCACTGGTTGTGAATCCTCTGGAAAACTGAGTTTTAACTCGTAAAGTTCAGTAATCAGATCATCTGACTGCTGTTGGAATGAAGAAATCTTCCAACACACTACCAAAGTACCATCTATGCTGCAACTGTATGAAGAAGCTCCAATATCCCTCTCCAAAACATTGAAATCAGTGAAAAGTGCAAGACGAGATCTGCAACCATGGTTATGAATCAAGAGCTGTGGTATGTGGTAACATAACAATTTTTTTCACAACTGATCTTTGCTTCCAGGCTAACCCAGCCTAAGAAGGGTACAATCTTCTTGGATCCTCTCTTGCTGTTATTAGAAGCAGCACCTCTGTAAGTAACCGGCGGTGTTGCATTTTAACAAGCCAATGACAAAAGAAAATCACAAACTGTTGTAGATACCTTGATCTTGTAATCATCACCACCAGACACAAACAGGGGCTGCTGCTGGTGGAAATTGATTCCTCTAACAGGTCCTGCATAAACACAAGGTGGCAATCAATCAATCAACAATAGCAGAAACAAGTTTTCTCATAAAAATAGTTTACTATTTTTTCCCCGCAATACTTTTACACCAGACTGCATTGTCATCAACAAAGAATGTGCAAGGAAAAATCTCAGCTCAATAGCTTATCATGAAATCATTTTAAAATGTGATCACAAATTTCTGCCCAGAGAAACAAACATACATACAAAACCCTCCTTAATAAAAGAGTGTTCTCTGTCTTTGCAACATTTTCGAGCCTTTTAAAAGGATCAGAGCAGCAATGCTGTTTACACTGGAGGATAAATCATTTCAATGTTTTGTATCCATCTTCTCGAAGGTTAGCCTTTGCCTCATTTTCCAGAAATTGCACCCTCCATCACCGTTCACTCCAGACCACAATGGAACATGACATGTCTAAAAAAAAACCACGTCAGTTTAGGGTAGAGAACGCTGTTTATCAGCCGGTTTTCCACAATGTTTAGGTCATGCAGAATGTCCATTGTATTTTAAGAATTTTTTTTGCACCACTTCAGTTCAAAATCTCTCGTGACTTACTTCTTCACAGACTGAGTGAGAGTCCACACGATTCATATCCATAAGTTGTCCTGGGAAAGATGCATGATCTCAAGAATGTCTCACTTGTTTGAAAGTGCTGGGCCACAGGCTCTTCATACTGTTTAGTCTCATGGAGGATCAAAGGCAGAAGAAAAATAGATCACATCTTTTGCTCTGTGCACATGGGTCTGAGTCTGTGCTGTCCTCTTCTTAATCTGACAAATGCTACAATGTGCTACTGTTTGGAACATAATATGTTTTTCTGTGTGGGTTAAAGTGGCCCCATTTAATGGAAAGGGGGAGGGGGAGATAACAGACCCACTGCCCCCAAAAAGGCATGTCGTAGAAGTCCCAAATTAAGGGGTGTTTCCTTCACAGTTGGCCTGCGTCTGCTTGAGAAGTGAGGGAACAACATCCTGTGTACAAATAAGCCAGATCAGAACTTAAGTTCTGCAGCAAGACCAAAGTTCAAAGGAGGATGAACAACCATAACTTTAAGCCATAGTTTACAGCGGGTGAGCACTAAGAAGAAGAAGGGGAAAAAAACTAAAAGACTCACTGCCTCCTAACAGATGCCCCCACTGTGGGTTTTGAGGCCTCCTTTGGAATGGGGGAGGGGGGGGGGGAGGGGGGGAACACAAACAACTGCACCCTAACAAGCATGTCATTAAAGGCAACAAATTACTGATGTTTCCTCTGAAATCAGACCACTTTCCTGAGAGGTAAGGAACCAACAGTCTGCACAAAAATAAACCTGATATCAGTAAATCACATGCGCACGCAACATTTTAAGCACTGGAACAAGACCAAAGGTGAGAAGTAGATGAACAACCAGAACTCCAACCTGCTTTTGCAATTTATAAAATCTGAAGGCCCACACTTACCATCATGCTCGTCAAACTTTTCAATCAAGGTGCACATGCGGTAATCCCACAACTGGATGACCCCGTTGTGAAGAGATGCTAGGACCCATGGTCGCTTGGAATGGAAGGACAAGCCTGCGGATATGTTCAAAATTGCAATTGTCTTTACTGTCCTGTATTTATCACTTTTCAAGTGAGAGCATGATTCACCCGAGAAGACTAAATCCAGTCACTTCAGGCAGTGACACAGTCCCGTACATGCCGATACCGGCCATGCCTGCAGTGATCTATGACACAGTCCCGTACATGCCGATACCGGCCATGCCTGCAGTGATCTATGACACAGTCCCGTACATGCCGATACCGGCCATGCCTGCAGTGATCTATGACACAGTCCCGTACATGCCGATACCGGCCATGCCTGCAGTGAACTATACATAAAATGCACAAATTCCATTGGTTGTGTGTGTGTGCCTGTGCAGTGGTTAACAGGTCAGGATATGAATTTAGTAACTATAAACAGTATTTAAGGTGGTCCCCTATGACTCCAACGGCTTTTTTCTTTTTCTTTTGAAATCCAAGGTGTCAAATTTTCCTGAGTCACCTGATATATTTTCTTTAAGGTCATTAAATGCTCAACTTTGCTCAAGTTTATTGGTTAATCCTCAAATTTATATTTATTTAAAAAGCAAACAAAACTGTATTAAAAATGCACATAAAAACATTTTCAAAATAGTGACCTTTGTAATATAAATTTTGTTTTTAAAGGATTTCTTTCTGGAAATTCCTATGGTCTCTCTCTCTCTCTCGCACGCACACACAGATATATATACATAGTAACATATATAAGACTATCATGGTGCAAAATGATTGAGGATTCAGTTGGACCAGGGGTCTTCAGGCTCAGGATTTAGGGCATATGGCTAGTGCTGTCACCACAAACTTGGTCATGGTAGTCGTTAAAAAAAACAAAAGATTCCTGCCAATTTCAGTCAGCTCCTAAAATGAGCAGTGACTCTATCTTGGCAACGTTTATGTGCTGCGTGTTGTAACGCTTAGTTTGGTCACCATCTAGTTGGCACGCTGCAGTTTTCGGTATCAGGGCATCCACCAGGCACACCGTCTCGAAACAAATTGTAGCCGTCATTGAGCTACCAAAGACAAGGCCCCTTTCAGGGTCCCCACTTAATATCTTTTTTGGGCTTTTCTTTTTTCGCACCATACATGCGTATGTGCGTGAGCTGAGAGAGCCGTTTTTTGTTGGCTTTTTTTTTTCTTCAGTTTTTTAAAGTCAGGTTTTCTTCCTGCCAAACATGGTTAAAGAAGTAGAAGACATTAGTAAAGGGAAGATTGGAATGCATATCTGAAATGCTGTTTGGTTTAGGATTTATAGTAAGATCGGAAGATGAAGGTAGAAATTAGATTCTGTGCTGCTGGCATGTGTCCGCTGCGCTTGTCCTCGTCCTTCCGCAGGTGGTCGGTCGTGGCGTTTTTCGCGGTGTCATGTTGGTTCGGTCATGTCCGGTTCTGCGTTCATTGGTTTCGGTTTAGGTTTAGCCGTTCGGCTAATAAACTGTTTAACCAGTTTCTGTAAATCTAAGTCGCTGGTTACACTTAGGCATGCGTGGAAGGATATCTGTTTACTCTGGCTGTTAAAGTACTCCTGTAATTGTCGCCTCTGTATACTAAACTTTGAGCATTCTAGTATGTAATGGGCCATTGTGTTAGGTTTCTTGCACTGGTCGCAGCTCGGGTTTTGTACTTTTTGGACAAGTAGCCCAATCGCATCTTCCAGAGTTTGTTGATCGCTGGGATCTTTGTTTGCTCTTTGACTTGCGATTGGGCTCTGGGTTTTTGTGGGCGTATCTCCCTTTAGGGTTTTCGTTCCATTGGGTTGCCCATGCCTCAAGAAGCAGTTTTTTGGTCGCAGCTTTTCCCTCCAGCTTACCTAGGCCTATTTTCAGTTTTGTTATCGCCTAGCGATCCGTTCTTGGCGGCCACGCCTTTGTGGGCCGGTACCCATCCTATGGTGAGTTGGCTCCCCTTTCTTCGCAGTTCAGTCGCCGAGATCAGGATCTTTTCTTTGATGTCAGGTCTGCTACTTTTTCTTAGGCCGTTCAAGGATTGGATGGCGGCTAATGAGTCGGACAGTATGTGAACGTCAGTTGGCGGGTTTGTTAGAGCTAGCTCTAGGGCTTTTAGTATGCCGTACAGTTCTGCCGTGCATACCGCGGCCCCGCCACTTAGTCTGAATTCCATTAATTTGCTGAGTCTGGGTGCGTATATTCGCGCCTCGACTCTTCCCTCCTCGCTCTTTGATCCGTCGGTATATATGATGAGGCAGTTGGTTGGCAGTGTTGCAATGTGTGCATCCGTGATTCTTTTTGCCTCATCTTTCTCCGTTTTTTTGGTGATCAGTTTGGCGAGGTGGGTGTAAGTTGTGGGTGGTATTAACTCCCATGGAGGTACAGTGTTTATATGCTTTTTGGTATCTTTGAAGGTTTGGGCTACTTTGCTCCCTGGTACTGTTCTTGCCAGAAGCCACGCGACTGGTTCAGTAAACCGCTGGGGGTTTCCTTCTCCATACCGGTGTACGTTGGGTTGGTATGCTTCATTGGCGGGATGTTCCTGGTCGGCGTGGACTTGCATGAAGTAGTTGAGTTCAAGTTGCCTTCTTCTGAGGCTCAGAGGGGTTACACCCAGTGCTACTTCCATCGCTGCCCTGCAGGTACTTATACCTGTTTCTAGGATGAGAGCTAGAGCTTGTCCCTGGATTTTGTCCAAGTTTTTTTTCCTTGTTTCAGCTGCTGCTTCGTACATGGTGGAACCGTACTCAATTCTTCCTCTGATAAAGGCTATGTAAAAGGTGAGCATAGTTTTGGTATGCGCACCCCATCCGCTACCCTTTATCACCTTGAGCATATTAATTAGCGGTTTAGTACGTCCCACCGTGTAGTCTATGTGGCACCACAAACTGAGCAGGTCCATGCTTTTATTTCTGTCTCAACACAAAAGAAAAGATCCATCACCCTACTGAGGATTTTAATCTGGGTCTCCCACAAGACAGCCTGGCACTGTAACCACTCAGCCAGATGTTCTCACAATGCTATGGTTTCGGAAATCAGAAACAGTCATGAGGACCACACACACATTCCTGTATTTGTTGCCTTTTTTTTAAATTTGATTTTTATTCTGTGCTAACTCTACAATGAAGGCTGGCTACAGTGCACCCACTATTGTCTTTGAGAACCTTATGTGGTAAAGCCCCAATGTCTTCCATGGTGTCACTCTCTTACTACTGATCAAAACTAAACAACTTTTTTTAAGTAGGGGGGAAAAAAAGGGGGGGGAGGAGTCTTAGGATTTTGGGACACATGGACAGTGTAGCGGCCACAAACTGTGCAGACTACAGGATTTGCCCGTGACAGACAAAAATTCCCAATATCTGAATGGAGTCCGGAACCAGAGTCTCCACACAGATGAGAGAGATCATCTGCAGACCGACTCCCTTGGAGGCTGACAGTGAAAGACAGACTGTCACATTTAACAGAGACCAAATGCAGCAAGCCTTAGAGAAGAGACGTCTGAATGAAACAAACAGCCTCTCAACGACACAGCATCAACATGTGCATGTGGCAGAGGCTGCCACCCTCGCACTCAACATTACAACAACAACAACAAAAGGTAAAGGTAAAGGTCGGGAGATGTGAACCAGCGTCATTAAACACGGTTAAAAACCCAAAGTGCTCTGCCATCAGTACGGAGAGCTGATAAGAAACTGTCCGCCTGCGTCGTCGTCTGCGCGCAACTCCGTAGCAACAGCGACGTTCCTCCATTTACCACAGTGTTAATTCTGGTACCCGTTACCTAAAGGCTGGATTTGAAAGCGAGTCTCCTATTGACAGCGCTAACGTGGCCCCATCACTAAACATTACAGATGCTGTCTCCAAAACCAACTGCACAACTCCCTTGTCCCCAAGGACTAACCATTGCCTACTACTACTATTTGATTTTGCAAAGTACACATGCAAATTATTCATCAAAAGTCAGGTCCAGTGTCTATAAAACAAAACACAAATGTTCTGAACTTTTCAAAACCATTCACTGCAAACAATCTCCAAGTTATGTACACATTATTTCCTTTTCATTGTCTTAGTGTCAACTTATATTGAAACACCCAAAACTCATTGATGAAACATTACTTACAAGGACCTAGCCCCAATCCCAGACAGTTCTCATTAGTCATTACATTTATGCTCAAATATCTTGAGGCTGAACAATGAAACACAATAACCCATTGGATTCTGATTACAAGTGTTGCTGAATGCTTGCAAGATACAAAAAAATTAAGTGATCTGCACTGAACACCCCTCCCCTTTCCACACTGTATAAATGGCCTGTATAAATGCTTTCACAATTGTATTCTAGATATCAAACTGCTTTAGGACAAGCTGCTAGTAAAGATACTTCCATCCAAATCCGCATTATAATTTCAAAGACGTACAACAAAAGCTATCTAAATACTGGAATGAAAACAAGCAAAGCAGTGTCAAGTGTGAAAGCTTGTCAGGCAGGAGGAAAAAAATACAATAGCAATTCCCTTATCTCTTTTTTTATAATTCAACCCATGAACTGTGCTTGAAATTGTACATTTTTAAATTAGTAGCCATCAAATAGTGGTGATAAATGATTAAGTAGGTATTCTCTAAAAAACAAAAACAGATAACTATAAACTTTCATAAAGTCACCCTGTCTAAAATACACACAGCACTTTAATACCCAGATTGGTTAAAAATGATCTTTTGTTTCTTCTGTATCTGTCCTTGAAATAGTTGTGTTGTGGTTTACTGCTAGGCCACAATAATTGCACCTTTTGGCCCAATATATCAAGGCCAACAAAACATTAAGTGAATACCTTTTGCAACAGCTTGACAGGCAATGGGTTTACTCCCACTCCTACCCCTTTTTTTTTGCCTCCAAAATGGGCCCTTATAGGGAGAAAACTGATGTGACTGTTATAATTAACACATTACATACTTTATGGAAGTGTAGATAAATAGCTATTTTTAAAGTATATTTTTAGTGTAGTTTCGGTTGTTTCTTTGTTGTGAATTATTTTTTTTTTTTTTTTTTTTAAATCTTCAAGAAATGAATGTTTCTATATTTTATGAATCTGCTAGCAGGGGAAATTAAGCAAATGGGAAATACTAACACAAGGGACCCAGTTTTACCATTCACTGAAATAAAAGCAAATAAAATAATATTATAAAGATGACTTAAAACAATATTACGAGAGAAGGTATGCTTTTGGTGTCATCTCAGTATTTCTTTGACACAAAGACTAGCTGCATAAGGAGTTATGTTAGGAAAATGCAAAAAAATGTTGCTAGGAATAATTAAATTTAAACACCAACAATTAAACCATGCAAGATGTTTACTAATCATTTATTCTGCTGACCTAACAAAATGATGAAAAGTCTGGGTTGAATCTGAAAAACTAACTAAATGTATTACTGGCAGAAGACAGCATGTTAAAAACAGAGAGTGAAATTATATTTTATACACTAGAAATCAGAAATATGCTCACTCAAAGACAGGACTGGTATTATTAATTAACTAATAGAAGAAGCACAGCTGAGAGACTGGTGTTGACATTAGACACGGAAGAAACAGGTTTGGATCCCAGAAGAGGTTGCCCTAGGAGAGCATGGACTGATGAAACTGAAGATATTCGACGCAACTCAGAAAAGTCAACATCCACTGCTATCCATCAAGAATTGGATCACAAACTGTTTCTCCCCACGAGGCTTAACAGCAAAGTGGAAATGGATTATAAAGACCATGATTTATTAAAATATAAAAGCTACGATGATATTACATTTAGTGTGCTTGCATGTCAAGACAGTGATTCTGATTAAATGTCCAGCACACAGATGTTTCTGACCAGTGTGAAATGATCACCAAAGGACCACATAGATGGGAACATAATTTTTCTTTTTTATGTTGAAATGCTAATGTATACCAGCACAATTTTTAAGCATAATATTTTCCAGCTTTACTGTAATATAAATATTTGTGTGGATACTAGAAACTGTTTTTAGACATGTTGTGATTAGTACCAGCACCTTTATTTGTAGATTTACTAGCTACTACAGTTAGCGATCTTTTCGACAATTTCCGTTACCATAGAAACCGTTTGAAACTTGTTTCGGAAATGTCAGCTGGGGTTTCGGGATGGGTCCTAATCTCTCATGAAATTTTACCATTGATGTGATTTTCACCCACTCTAAATAGCTGAAAACGGCGGGAAGGAACTCGATTAACAGCGCATGTCTACGACAGCCGGACATTCTCTGTTTTTCTGTTAGTCTATCAGTTTGATTGAAAATAGCGGTAAATTCGAGGTTGGTTTAGGCCTTAAACATTACCAGATGTGGTAATGCTAGTTACAATTGAATTCTCCGTCCAATTTTACATTTGCATATAAAATTTCTTTCCCGACTCTGGCTGTTTAGATTTACAGTGACATTTTTTAGGCAATCGCATGCGGCTGAGTGAGCTGAGTCTCACTGCCTGCCATCTTGTCCAATGACAGTCCAATGTCAACAAAGCCGATACAGAACTGCGCAGTAGGTTGCGCAGAGAAAAACTTCTTGTTTCTGGGTCACAAGTTTTAGCGGCTGTTTCTTACATCTAATCTCCACAAAAACCTACATATCTCAGCTCAGAAATGACATACAAGCCTAAATGAGGTACCATTGGAAAGAGATTGTTTACAGCTATCTAACTGTGCTGGTTTTATTGGTGTAGAGGGCATTTTAAAAATTTGACTGAAGTACCTAGATTTACGTTATTTATCATGGAATCAAGGCCGAAAGGTTGCGATATCCATAATACCGAGCCAAAGGGTTAACAATTCATGTCTTTTGGATACTAAAAATAAATATATATATATATATATATATATATATATATATATATATATATATATATATATATATATATATATATATATATATATATATATATATATATATATATATATATATATATATATATATATATATATATAAAAGAGTGAAAGAGTGACTACAGGCGTCTTCGTGGCAAGTTCTACTAAGTTAACAGAACATCCGTTCTGTGATACCTGAATTCCCTCCGGCAAATGGAAAAGTGTAAATCTGTAATAATTCTTATAATGTTAGAATACTTTGACATTTCAGAGTGAAAGATGAACTAGTACTGACCAAGAAGTACAGTAAAAGCATACCACTATGCAAAAGACTTGGTGACTTGGACAGGAGTCCAAAAACATGAAATAAAAATGAAAATCCCATTTGATAACTGGATTGGTGGACCGTTGACAAAATTGGGGACTAGCCGCTTCATATTTAACATATAAAGCGCTCATGATTACCTTTGACTCGAGCCGATTTCGTTTCGAACTTTGTCAGCATTTTGAGGTAGCTTCCCGCTTCATACAGCTGCGGAAATGTGTGAAATGAAGTGTTTTATTCTGTGACTCTGCTTGTTGTCAGTCGCCACCGTGTAAGTTCAGAACGACTTCCGGCAAACACGTCATTATCAGGGCTGCCGAAATTTGATTAGGAATGGTACACTTTTGTTTTTTAAGTTCTGAAATAAATAAAAAAAAGTACCACATTTTGAGTCAGAAAACCGTTAAAAGGCGTGGGAATATGTATACATAACTAGTTTCCTTATATTTGAAAAAAGCAAAGTACTTTGTTTATTACACCACTGATGTACAATGCTTTCGCTCAGTTTGTTACAAAGCTGATGTTGCGGCTTTCAGTCGGTGTAAATAATGCACTGGAGCAAAAACGTTGATCTCGAAAATGCAATTATTGTTCAAATCTTTAAACGGCGACGTTAGCAGCAACAACAAAATCATAATGTTATTGAGCAGGAAAAAAAAGAATGGAATAATGGCAACATTTAAAGCAAAAAGTTTGGTACTACTAGAAAACTATTTTCATCTTCCCATTGGAAGTGTGTTTTTAATTACGTCAAATGATATTTTTTTTAATGAGACCTTCCCGTGTGGGTTCCGGGGCCCTATTATGGAAAAAAAAACAAGAATAGACCCATTGCCTACCCAAAAGCATGTCGTAAGAGTCGACTAATTGGGAGCTTCCTTCGAAGTCGGAGTGCATCTGTCTGAGAGGCAAGGAACCCACAGTCTGCATACAGACCTGTCAAACGGATGCACAAGGAACACTCAGGTTCTGGAACAGGACTGCAGTCCAGAAGTGGACGAACAACTAGAACTTTCCGCCGGAGTTTACAGCCGGTGAACAAGAAGAAGAAGAAGATGAAGAAAAAAAATGAGACCATCTGCCAGTTATCTGGACGGACACTCTTACACTGACCTTTCAAACTCAAACAAAAGCGCACTTGATCAGTCACGTCAAATGGTACAATTGTATCTCGCTTATTTTTAGTTCACTCGCAATAAAAAAGACCCAACACAATGCTAAAATTCATAATATACATGCAACATTTCTAAAACGAACCAAAAAATTTGGCGTAGTACCAAAAGTATGGGGTTGCCTGCTAAGGATCAAATCGTACGAAATGTGTACGAAAGTACCAACTTCAGCAGCCCTGGTCATGCAGGCCGGAAGATCACGTGACACAATACCGGCAGTCAATAACCTCCCCTTGTGTGTTTCCGAGGCCTTAATATTGGGTTGTGTCCCGTGCAATATTAATATACGCGATTTGTCATAAGCCAAATCAGGCGAGCATATTTCGATTAAGAAAACGTTTTTTCACCGATTCAGTTGTGTAAATTATGAAAAGTACTTGACAATTAATAGTTTATAAATGGGCGGTTATTAAACAGTAGCAGAGTCATATATGAAAAAGACGACTGAACTATCAAGCATTTTTTGGCTCAACTACCACATGCATAAAAAAAAAAAGATTGTACAGTCACCACAGTGTGTCTGTCAAACAGGACCACAAACACCTGAGCACATTCTGCAGACCTCCCCACTCTACATACAACTTCAAAAAGACATATGGCTTCAAGAGCAAAGTGTGCAGAGCAAGTTATGGGGAACCACGAAGGACCTGCTACTGACGTGCGAGTTCATAGAGGCAACCCACTTGATGGTCTGATCTGAGCATACGAAACCGAACTCAAAGAAGAAGAAGAAGCAATTGTTGGCAATTAAACTAGTTTCCTGCATCATCAGCGTTTAACTACCATCTTCTTCTTCTCAGTTCATGCCGTGTGACGATGGTAGTCCTGTCTATACACAACCTTCTGTCTCGTGTACTTTAATTAACTCTGACACAGATGATCCTCCATAGTCGGTGCAATGTGGCGTTGGTAGTCCTGTCTATCCACAACCTTCTGTTTCGTGTACTTTAATTAACTCTGACACAGATGATCCTCCATAGTCGGTGCAGTGTGGCGTTGGTAGTCCTGTCTATTCACAACCTTCTGTCTCGTGTAGTTTAACTCTGACACAGATGATCCTCCATAGTCGGTGCAATGTGGCGTTGGTAGTCATGTCTATCCACAACCTTCTGTCTCGTGTAGTTTAACTCTGACACAGATGATCCTCTATAGTCGGTGCAATGTGGCGTTGGTAGTCATGTCTACCCACAACCTTCTGTCTCGTGTACTTTCAGTCAACTCTGACACAGATGATCCTCCATGCCATGCTATCAAACTGTACAGCATCTTTTCTCTTGGTCTCCCTCTGCCTCTCTTCCCCTTCAACTTTCGCACTGCCACGATGAAATCCATTTTTCTCCTTCTCATCACACAGCCAAAGAATGTAGATTGTCTTTTTCTGATGTGGGCAATCAGTTCTCTTTGTGAGTCGGTTTCTTTCAAGACATCTTCATTACTCTTTTTATCTGTCCCAGGTATTCTCATCATTCGTCTATAAAACCACATCTCCGCAGCTTCCAGATACGTTTTCACTTGTCTATTAACTGTCCATGTTTCACATCCCTAAATCACTATAGAATTTATATAGCTTTTAAGAATTATCTTTCTCATCTCAACTGACAAAGAAAAACTGCATCAACAATTGTCCATTTTGTAAAATGCTGCATTTGCTTGAGATATTCGATATTTAACTTTCTTAATACATCTTCCATCTGATGATAACAGGGATCCCCGTACTTATAAATATCAACTTGCTTGAGGTTTGTCCCACTTACTTTGATGTTGCAATTTATAGGGTCAGTTTTCTTTGTAATTATCATTACTTCTGTTTTTCTGCTGTTTCAAACTAAGACCCGTGTTTCAGTTACAATTATATCCATCATTTCTTGCAGCTGTGTTTCATTTTCAGTGATCAAAACTGTATCGTCAGCATATCGCAGGTTGGTAACAATGTACAAGTTGAATAAATCGGGTGATAGTAAACATCCCTGTCTAACGCCTTGTTTAATATTTTGAAAAGTTAAAATATGGCGTTGTTTGTGCATTTACCTTTAACAAAACCACACTGCTCTTCTCCAATCTCTGGTTTGATTTTGCACATTATTCTTCTCATGATAATTTTCATTAATATTTTATTTGCTTAACTCATTAAACTAACTGTTCCATGTTGTCCACATTCCACTGCACCAGGTGTTTCCGGTAAAGGTGTGAAAAGAGATTTCAAAAAGTCATCAGGTATGTGTCCACTGTTATAAATATTATTGAACAATTCTGTCAAAACTTCTTAACCAAGTTCACCAGCAGCTTTTAGTTCTTAAATCGTGATATAACCTGGCACTGGAGATTTACATTTCTTCATGTGGTTTCTGGCATCTTTTACTTCTGCTTTCAGTATTGGCGGTATCTCCCAATACTCCCGACTCTCTGTATCTGGTCTGCTGTTATCATGGCATAGCTCTTTTATACAATCTGTCCATCTTTCAATTACCTTTTCTTTGTCCATTAATATTTCACTTTATTGTGTTTTCAAACAACTACGTGTTTATTTGCTAAAACCTGACGGTTCTTGTATTCGTTTATACAATTCTTGCGTGTTCTCCCTTTCTTCTTCAATTTCTTTGCACTTATTATTTAGCCATACTTCTTTCGCTACTATAATCATCATCATCATTATCATCATCACCATCACCATCATCATTATCCCCATCATGTAGCTAGAACTCATATGTCATGATATGGCCAAAGTATTTCAGTTGGCGAGACAAGCGCCCGTCTGCTCGACATTCAGATCTTTCAGATTGTAGAATTGTATTGTTTTTACTGTACTCTGCTGGCAAACCAAATGACCATTTTTAATATCATACGAGTGTTTATACTGCTTGTAGATTTTTTTCTGGTATGGGGCGTTGCAGGTCGGCCCAGCCTAGAATGGATACTAGGATGTATGTCCTGGGGAAGTAAAGACGGCCGGCGGAATGCTGATTTCGAACTTCCCGACAGCATCAATTCTTCATCCGTGTCAAGCATCAATTTGCCACCAAGTGGTTCACAACCAATGAGTCTGCACTGTTCCCTTTCTTCCAAAGGGCCCTTTAAAACATGTAGCTAGTCAAGCATTAATTTGCCACCATGTGCTCCAGAACTAGCCAGTCTATCTGCCTACTTATTCCCCAAAACACCGGCATACCCATGGAGAAAATGTCCAAAGACACGAATTACAACCTCTGAAGCGACGCTTGCCACTCTGCACGCAGCGTAACTTGTACAAACTACACTTACAACTGCGGCGTCCATGGCTTAGGTGTTGCGAGTCCGACTCGTCATTCTAACGTACCGCGATCGAAACCCTCTGCTGACTGCGTGGATTTTATCATGGTATGGGGCGTCGCAGGTCGACCCCGCCTAAAATGGGTACCAGGATGTATGTCCTGGGGAAGTAAAGACGACTGGCGTGATGCTGACCACATTACCCCCACCTAGTGCCGATTGGTCTGTAAAAAATATGGGATGCTCTTCCCATATGTCCGATTCCTAAGGCGTGAAAAGGGATCTTTACTTTACTTACTTACACTTACAACTAAGACGACCAAAATGCAATGCCGGGGCTAATACAATCCCAGATTGCTACAGTTTTGACTTCCCCCAAACACGCGATTCTAGTGCAACCTTGCGAGAACAATTAACCGACTGTCTATAGTACGTTGATAACAAGATGTCAAAATAGACATCCTATTCCCCGAACCGTCGTGCGGAGAGCTTGTTTTGCCTTGTACTTAAACACACAATATTCGTTTACACACACAGTGATAGATACATAACGCGGATCTATTGCTAGGTCAATATTTGTTTGTGCGGTTGCGTGGCGTGTGCGATGAGTATGTGCAAGTTATGTGTGAGCGCGCACGCGCATGCGCGCATGTGTGTGTCTGAGTATTGAGTTTATTTAACTTTGACAATGAACGATTATAGTTACTCGAAACCGTCCAGTTGTTTTAAGTAGCTCGTGAGTTCGGGTCCTGAATAAGCCAA